CCTGTTTGGGGACTGGAAAACTGTCCTCACAAAACCAGTGGTTCAGCCAGTAGTGTTTTAAGAATAAAACAAATTTACTACCAACAGCTCCAAATAGCAAAAATCTGTAGGTGCCCTCAGGTCTCTGCAGTAGGGGGTTGTTTATTTTTAAGTAAAAAAGAAATTGATTTCCCCTTTTAATCATTTGCAGCATCTTCCTGCTCAGATCTCTAGTTATGCCTCCCTCTTACTGCTGGCTTTTGCAGAACAAAGTCTCCCCAGCCCTCATAAATGCCGACTGGTGCTCCTGGGAGCATGAGAAACCTCTCAGCAGCTGCACAATGCCTTCTGCTCGCCTGACCGGAGTTACACTGACTGATTTTTTGGACAGGTTAGCCCAGACTTCTGGAGAGTCTTGTGTTCTCCAGTAGTGTAGAAATTCCCATTTGCCTGCTGTTAAGGTGCCTTAGGCTCTGGCAATACTCTTGATCTGCCCACTTCTACACCTGTGGTACAGCATTTTTGCTGAGGCAAAAAATCTTGGTCTTTCATATTGAAGATCTCAGCAACCGGGAAGCTGTGTAGGTTATGTGGGTGCCAAAAGCAAAGATTATTGTTCCAGAAAAAGATTCCCAGGCACTATGAAGATGGAGTAGGAGCAAGGCACATTGGGATCTGTTCCTGGAGACAACACACAACAGAACCTAAGTACTCACAGCCTATACGCAAGCATGTGGCTCCCCTCTTAAACCCCAGGAAACCGTACATACAAGGGAAGAGAGAAGGTATAGGTGGGAAAACCCCAAGTCCTCGAGACTTATTGCCAGACTAGACTTAACTGAGGGCAGAGACGTGACATGGGCCACACAGTTCCTTAAGAGCACCCTAAGGAGTTCTGCAAGTCCTTTGAGAAGCCAAACATGCTCTCATGGAAAGTGCAGAAGCAAAACACATACTGCACAGAGGCAAGCATCAGAAGGGGGTTAAAACAAAATGCATGCTGCCAAGTAAATAGATGCGTCTGCCTCTGATTTGCATGTTTATCTTAGAAGCAATTTAGGTTTCTCCTTGTTTATAAGAGTAGAAGTCAGCAGACTCTTAGAACAAGAAAAACAACTGGGAGCCAACATGTGACAGCTCTCTTCTGTTCTCCCAATGCATTGGAGCAGGCAGCGCTTGCAGGCTATTGAGAAAGAGCCCACTTCAGCTGCATCACTGGATGTGTTTGTGCAACAGATTTACTTACACAGAAGAGAGAGAATAGCAGGAAGCAAGGACCACTTTACCACCTTCACATCTGAGGCTCTGAAAACACTTGCCTTTGTAACCTGAAGTCTCCAGCCTGCGCTGGTACCGTGCAGAACGCCAGCAAGTCGCTCCTTGCAGGAAAACAACAAAGAGAAGGAGGAACGCAGAGGTCCAGAGGGATGTATGTTAGCATGGTGTTTCCTGCAACACTCAGTGGTATCTGCAGCTCACAGCCACCTCCTGGTAGCGCTGGAAGCTGAACTCTAGAAGCAAAAGGGAAACACAGCACGCTTGTGATACATGCATCGCCTGTACGCTGATTTGCGAAAAGTAACTGATGTAGCATAATGCAGCCAAAGGCTGTGGGAGGGATTAGTGCCAGCCCCTGCTACCTGAGCTAAGCAAGCAAGCCCTACCTTCCACAGACAGCAGCCTCCAGCAAGGGCTATGATGCAAGGGCTTCACCAGCACCATGCGAGGACCTCACAGAAGGCAGCACCACACACCCTTTCAGAACCTCACCTGACGTGGTATCTTCCTACCTTGCTCTCTCTCTTTCCCCGACAGAGTCATTTTCTGATGGAGATTGCAAGGAAAAATGACCAGACATTTTGGACTCTTTTTTTTTTTTTTTTCTATTGTAAAAATGCAGATTTCCCAGGAGTAAAGCATTTCACACAGATTTGCCACTCCCAACACAACTTCATATTCTAAAAAAACGAAGCAGACCATTCTGATAAGCAAGTTAGGGATTTCTTCAGAACACTCATTTTCTACTTCACCATTTTTTAAATGTCATAGATTTTTAGAAATATAATTAGAAGGGAGATTTTAATCAATCCAAAACAAATGTTTGGGTTTTTTTTTTTCCCTCCCAAAATTCTGCTTGGCAGGAAATTTTCAGATATTCCCTGTATTGCTCCATTTCAGAGTAACTGAACCCAATCTGAGAACTTCTCATGAAATGGCAGATCTAGCTCTCGCCTGGATAACTGCAGGCTTTCCAGGACAAATGAAGAGTTTTTCCCCCTTATTGTGCCACGCCATTTTACAATGCCACAGAAATCCTGGGACAGATTTCTGTACATAATCTAGGATGAAGGCCCATAGGTACCATAGAACATAAATCGCTTTTTGTTTGTGGCCACAATGAAAGAGGAAAATGCAATCACCTACACACCAGGGAGGGGAACTCTGAGAAACTTACATTGGCAAGGTGCTCTGTGAACAAATAAAAGGTCTATGACCTTTCTGCATTCTCTTGTTCCACTTTCTCCTGCTGGTAATATTTGCTGTGATCTGGATATTTGGCAGGAGAATTAACAAGAACAGAAGTAATTAGCTCACAGTGTGAAAAAGGGAGTGCCTGGTGTTTATCTTGCCTAGAGGATTTCCCTTGATCTCAGTCTCCCAGGAGACTGCGTTACTCATTGCTTTATCTGCACGCTTTTCCATAGGGGAAGCATCTCTTTCGTCAGCTCACAGGGTGTCTCTTTAAAGCAAGCCTCTTACAGCGACACCACGTTTAACCAAAGAGAAGTGCCCTAGCTTAGTGAAGGTGGAAAAGGATAGGGGATAGGGGGCTGGACAAAGTCCCTTGAGAGGTGGCCCATCCAAGAACATTTTTATCATCTCCAGTCTTCCCTGCATCTCTCTCCTCCAGTGAAGAGGAGCCTTGGCCACGGCTACAACCTCCATCCCAAAACATTGCTGCCTGCCCACAACTGTCCTGTCACTAAGTTCTCAACTCGCAGCAGCTCAGGCAGTGACACATAAGCAATGCCGGCCCTTGCTTGGGATAAGACAGCTTAAACAGAGCGAATTCAGGGCCCAGGTATGGCCTGAGACTCTAGCAATCCCTCCTGCCTTCTGGATCGCAGCGTCAGAGAACTGCTTTCCCCCGACTGAGTTTGCAGAAGCCATGCCGAGCTGGTCGCGCCCAAGTAGTGCGATTCCAACTCTTACACAATCCTCTTCCCTCGTCATCCTCCGTCGAGGAGGATCCTTCACTCCAGCTAAGCAACAAGGCATGAGGAGCTCTGGGGGCAGGGAGCGTTGCTCTGGCTTTGCAGAGGTCCCTGTCCCACAGGGGTGCTGAGGCTCTTCCCAGCAACCCACGTGCTCCACTCTCATCGGTGCCACAGCAGCACTGCGGCATCCCGCAGGGCTGGAGCTCCCACTCCTAGAGCAAAGGGATGCAGAAGAAAGGGCACAAGGGCCCCCTCACCTGCGTCTCCAAAGGGGCTCAGCCAGACCCCCTCTGCCCTTGCACAGCTGGAGGAAACCAGCTTCTCTTTGCAGCTGAGCGCAAGGAAGGCAATTAACTGCCTGGAGCCGGCATTTCTCCATGAACTCCTGTTGGCTTTTCCTTTTTAAATGGGTTCTGCCATCTCTCTTGTGCCACTGCTGCATGATGAAAGGCTGATGAGCAAGCCTGTAAAAATAATACTCACTTGCCATCAGAGTCCTGGCTTGCAAAGCCATGGGGAGCTGGGTTTATTATCCTCAACTCCAGCCTGAGATGACCTTGTGTTTCTGCCAGTGTTTAAACAAAATATTTTAAAAAAGGGAAAAGATCCCATTGCTTTGTGTGTTCACAGGGCTTTCCTGGGTCTGTGAGCTATCTCTGGGACTGATAGAAAGGATAGAACATAGCCAGAGAGAGACAATGAAATATTGCCCAAGTTTATTGCTTTTTATTATTATTAAAGGGAGGGTCTTATTTCCAGTCTGGGGGTTTGAAAAATTTGAATCCCACCCAAATCTCTTTTCTTCCAGCCAGAATCACAACTCCATGGTATGTGGCAAAAATCATTCTCCCGCACAAAGAATCCTGCTTTCTGGCTGGGGTAAACAAGAGACCTAGGCAGGGTTTTTGAATGGAGATGGAAAATTCCACACTTGTCTCCATTGTCTGCGTTGCTTTACAGGCAGCGGAGAAGTCTGCAGGGCTCCTAAGGAAGAATTCAGGATCCCTCCCCCCGCCCCGGGTTTCGGTGGAAAGTTGCCCGTTAGGCTCAGACAGGCTGTACCAGACAATTGTTTGCGCATTGCCTTTCTGCACTGAACTCCTCGCCTTTTCCTCACCATGATGAGGGAATGCCAGAGGAGACCAGGATACAGGCAGGACGGCAGCCATCGCGCAGTCCTCCTGCCTATTTGTCTTTAGGGCATTATCACAAACATTCACCAATACCATAGAGGTGAAGGGAAGGCTAGATAATAGTGTGCTAACAGGCTTTAAGGGGTGCAGGTCACCCCTTTTGACACCCTGACAGTGTCTCTTGGGGGGAGTTTGGTTTGCAAGTTTCCATGCTCCCTGTAGCAGCAATTCCTGCACTGAGCAGAGCTTCCCCCTCTTCCCCTGGACCTGGTGCAGCTTGGGATTATTTTGTTAAACACAAAGGCTAGAGCCCAGAGGTTGTGATGGCTCAGCAGTGCCCCGTCCCCGCATCCCGCCTGTCTGCACCGCAGCACCGGGGAGGTCTCGACAGACAGCCCAGCAGAGCGCGCGGAAGCTCACTGTGCAATCCGGCGATGGCAGCACGCCCGCTGGAAGGGACGGGGCCCACAGGGACACGATGAGCTCAGGCCACTGCGGAGAGATGCCCTCGGGCAGAGCACGGAGCAGTTGTGACACAGCTGAAAAGAACAGAGGAAAAGGCAGGCTTCACTCCCCAGCAGGGGTTAGGAACCAGGGATCAAGATCTCTCCCACCTTAAGCCTCTAAGTGCAGTATGTTCATGCCGGGACAATCATCTCTTTGCTGCAGGTACATTGGGGCCCTGGGTGCGAGGGTGATCTGCGACAACATTCCCGGACTGGTCAACAAGCAGCGCCAGCTGTGCCAGAGGTACCCCGATATCATGCAGTCCGTCGGGGAGGGAGCCAAGGAGTGGATCCGGGAATGCCAGCACCAGTTCCGGCACCACCGCTGGAACTGCAGCACTCTGGATAGAGACCACACCGTCTTCGGCAGAGTCATGCTGCGAAGTAGGTCCCATCACGGTTCCCTTTTCTGTGCAGCCCATGCCTAAATCACAGCCTCAGCTCAGGGACACCTGCAACATAAGAGGGAATTTAGAATTAGTGGCCTGAATGGCTAGTGGCAAATGATATTTGTTTTACAGAGACATTTTAAAAGTGTGTCTCTCTCTCAAAAAAAAAAAAAAAAAGGAGGGAGGAAAGATAAGGGTTCTCCTTCCATTTCCTCCCCCTGCATAAACCAAAATCTAAACTGGAAAAATACTCTGACACGTGAAAAATGATTTTGGCTACAATGCATGACTTCTCCTTTTGCATATAGAGCTGCAAGAGACATGCATACATTCTTTGTGAAAAAACACTAAAACAGAAGAAAGCAACCCTTTTCCTTGAAATTACATTTTGATGGAAAAATTCTCATTAGCTGTGCTCCAGATACAATAGCAGAAAGAAACCTGGGCATTAACCAGGTATGTGGGTAAAACTGTGTACCTTCCGAGCAAGGAAGACATTTTACAGCAGAAAATAAGAAATCAGGCCCAATAAAATGCAGTGTGCAGTGCACCACAAGAGAAAGCAAGCTAGCCAGTCACTCCCTCTAGATTTATGAGGGGCTCCACATTGAAATTCTTTCATATCTCTGAGTCAGCTAGTGTGTAAAGGTGAGGAAGGAGTGGGGAATCCACAGGGAAAGGAAACATTTGTTGGAGATTTTGAGGTTTCTCTCTGTCCAAAGAGGCAGGAGGAGAGGAAGGGAGCAATTTAATTCTGGAATGTCCCAAACCCCATCGAGTCATGCAGAACCGCTGCCCCAGACTGTGCATGTACATGGAAATAGAAACGATGCAGCAGCCCTGGAAACCTGCAATCCAGCAACTCCGGCATGCAAGAGCAGCCGCTGCAAAACAAACACTGCCCCACAGCCTCATCCCCACCCTGCAGCCCCAGGGCTCCAGCAGGGACAGAGGCAGAGTCATTCACGAGTCCTATGCTAGCCCCTGCACCAGTGCAAGGTCTTCCAGAGGCTGTAAAAAGGCTCCAGTGCACTGGGCATTTGGAGGTAGGACCTCAAAGGATGCAGCACAGGGTAAAAGGAGGAAACATGAAAAGAATCTGGAAGCAGGTAGATATAAAGTGCCCTCAATACAAATCCCTAACTCCTTCATTTGCAATTTAACCCCACTTCAAACCAAGATGGCTGGTGCCAGGGAATTAGCTTACCTGGCAGGGGGTTTGGCAATACGAGGCTGTCTCCATCCCAGGTCATTCCCTGCAGCTGGCATCCACCAGCTCCTGTTCTTAAAGCACAGCCTATTTGTTATGAATCCCTCCTCGCCACGTGCCAAACCCCAGATTAATTCAGAAGGTCTCTGCCCGCAAAGGGCACAATCTGCTTCCTCCATGATTCACTGGGCACCCTTCCATGGCTCACCGCCCTCCAGATAAGGATTTTCCCTGCAGCAGATGCTGTGCTGGGTTTCAGCGACCGCCAGCGCAGGCACGCAGCCAGCCCAGCCAGCACACCAGGAAAGACTCTGCGCCTGCAGGAGCAGAGCCAAACCACCGCAGCACCTGCAGTGGCGAGAAGGCTGGCCCTGCAGCCCTAGGGCTCTGGCCACCCAGGTCTCCTGTCTGGTCAGAATTTAAAGCTCTCCTGGAGACACGGACGATTGAGCTCACCCCCTGTGCCTGGAGGCAACGCCACTGCTAACCCGCACATGCGGCAATGCCCAAACTCAGCTGAGAAGCACGCCTCCCAGAAATTAGATTCCCCTCTTCAAAGTCTCTCAAAAAATGGGCTTCACGTCCAGCCATTACCAAGCCAGCTGCAGTCTTCCCTCACTGAAGCATGTTTCATCCTCTCAGGACGAAATCCCACCTTCTCTGCACCTAGCAAAGTTCCCAGAGCCTCCTTCACTCCACTGCTGTCACACGTGTCCAGCCGTGCCAGAGCACATTGCTCCCTGTCTCACTGCACAAAGGGCAGGAGGTTTGGGAACCTCGTTTTCCCCTCGTTGTTTTTCCTCCTCTCGATGGGTTGCCATGCACAGTGGCTTGGATTACTTCCTTAGGAGAGCTTTGCCTTTCCTTGTAAATTAATCAAACAGTAATGGGAGCAGACCACTGCTTTTGAAATAGCTGCACCAGATGAGATGGAGCAGAGGGAGCACTGAGGGAGAAGGGGGAAGGAGGAGACACCTCCGGAGAACAGGCTCATATGTAAACAGTAATGGGATATATAAATATTTGGAGAGCAGGGTTGGCCAGGAATCAGCAGTTCACGTGGGAACTCGCTGTTCCCTTGCATGGCAAGGAAGGCAAGGCAGAGAGTTAAGGCTCAAGTCGTTGCTTTGGGCTTCATCTTGGAAAAGGGCCACGTTTATGGGGCAGAATCAGCCCCTACACAAAAGGCTGGGGCACAAGCCTTGCCCAAAGGAAGCTTCTTCCTGACGCTAGGTGAGCGAGGAACCATGCGGCCCATGCATGGAAAGCAGTGAAGTGGGGGCCACTAGGCTCTGCCAGGATGCTCCAGGCATGAAGCAGCCTCACTGCAGGAGCGTCCAGGGAGCTGGGAGGAGGCACGTTGCACTGGCCCACCCATGCATCAGTTCCTGTGGGTTGGGAACACACTTGCTAAACTAGAAGCAGCTCAAAAATCCCACAAGTTCAAAAACTATGACTTGGGCCTCAGTCAGGAGACCGGATTTAAAATCATGAGATATGTTTGTTACAGGATAAACATGGACTGTGCATTTCCTGTCTGGTTCTCGAGTTTATAGGCATCACATGTTCAAGATCACCTACAGAACCATCAGAATTCACAAGTTCCTTAGAAAAAGAAACCTGAATCTATCAATTGCAGGACTCTGGAGCTTGGGCTTTGGTAGAAGAGAAAAATCGCATACCCTGACAAAACTGCAAGAACAGCCATCACTGAAAATAGTTTCTACTCCCTGAGCACAGGAGGTGCTGTGTGATGCAAAAGCTCCTATGTGCCTGGAAGGGATCTGACACTAGATGAGGTGACCTAGGGTTTGTTCTTCACCCCTACTCAAAAGCACGTCCAGGAGGTCCAAAATGCCCACATGTTCCAGACACGTTTTATTCTACAAAGCAGAAACATGTTCAAGAAGTGAAGGAGGAAGGGGTGAGGCGGTGCAGGGACAGGAGCGGTTCCAGAGCAGAAAGAGCAACGTGGGCCCCAGCCACTCCCAGGGAGGGATGAGGAGGAAAGGGTCTCCATACCAAAGCAGACGACTCCAGGGAGCATGCATAAGCCACAGTGCGTGTGACCTGTTGCCAGGAATGGAGCCCCTGGGGGACAGATGCTGCTCCCCTGATATGCTCTGTTATGGTACATCCAGCCATATGGCCTCAAAATCAAACGTGGCCAGGAAGAGC